GACTTGATCAGATTTTAAAAAAAGAAGAAAGAGAGAGAGACAGAAAAAAGAGGACAGAAAGAAAAAAAAAAGATAGAGAGAAAAATTCTGAAAATACTAAGACTCCAAAAATAAAAAGAAAAACATTCTGGAAATTCAAAAGAAGAATAGTATACACATGATATACAATTTAAATATTCTGATATACGGATTCAGAAATTAAGGGTTGAACATTAATTAGTCTTTCAACTCTGAAAAGATTCCCTTGGCTTCTGTCCGTTGATTGTTGTTGGTGTTTCTGGATTTTTATCTTGAGTTTTAAAATCCGTCACTGGTTTCTCATTGCTGGTTGCTGGGTGTTGCTGTTGTTGTATGCTAATGAATTTTTGCTGATCTCCCTTTTCTTTTGCTTCCAATATCATGTACACGTCTGTAACACTAGCTATTGCAAGCTAATAATGTGGAAGCATGAATACATATGAAGAATTGAATTTTGAAGTTTTAATGTCGCTTTTCTTTGTTCCTTTTATTGATTGTATTTAGGCTATTTCATAATTACTGAATAATAATTGGAATAAGAGAAAATAACATATGTTAGTCTTTAATGAATCAGTTTGGCAAAACGGGTTAATTCACTAGTTATGGAGGTTTTAAGATTATCAACAGTAGGTTAATCGTGAACAAGTAGCTCAATTTAGCTAAGGTATGAATTTAAACTGAATTTCGTGAATTAGCCATTAAGGCACGATTTGAGTTCAAACAAGATTAGAAGAACGTTTAAGTTTAATAAACTTTCTAATAAGCATTAGTAATTATGGTTAAATCTAGTTTCAAATGGTTGTGAATAATTAATCTCAATAGTTTTTTTTTAACAATGCGAGTTTTAATCTAGCTATATTTGATTCTTTTGAATATTAGTTGTCGAATTTTTATTTTATTTATAATTTTGAATTTTTGAGTAAAATTCCTTTTCATCAATATTTGTATTAATCTAGCAATTAGTATGCCATGCTTTCTTAAATAAATAAATAAAAAAAACTCGTAATTAATTAGGATTTTCTTTCTTTATTTTAGAGACTAATTTTAATAGAAAAATGTAGTCGCTTTAAGATTTGTCCATTTAAAATAAATGAGACGAGCCTCGCCTAGTAAAATATGTAGATTGCGGGGCCCTCACAAATGTATGCATTAATTATTTAGAACATCGGAGTTGGCCGTCTAGTGAAATTTTACGGCCTTTCCCAAAACAACAATACGCTAGTCGCTCTAGGTGCGTCTTTAACAAATTATTTTCTTAAATATGAGTGTGCATTTATGTAACCCAAATCCAAATCTCAACGGAGTCGAAATGTGTCGATAACCACGGGTGCATTGATTGCGACGTGGTTTGAAATACGTTTTCACAATGTTGCAATTCTCCGTAAAATAATAACAATAAATAAAAATAATAAAAGCGGCTAAAGGATAAAATTTGCACATAAGTTTATAATATGTATTATATCAGATAATCAAGCCGAATATAACAGTTGAGCGACCGTGCTAGAACCACGGAACTCGGGAATGCCTAACACCTTCTCCCGGGTTAACAGAATTCCTTATCCGGATTTCTGGTACGCAGACTGTAATATGGAGTCATTCTTTTCCTCGATTCGGGATTAAAATTGGTGACTTGGGACACCCTAAATCTCCCAAGTGGCGACTCTGAAATAAATAAATAAATCCCGTTTCGATTGTCCTTTAATTGGAAAAAACTCCCTTCCGCACCCTTTTGAGGCGGCGCGGGCGAAAAAAGAGGTGTGACAGCTGGCATTCGTCGAATTGAGGTAACAGATTGCAGATCTCAACTTGGTATTTTTGCAATCTGAGAGTCGCACCAGTCCCTGCGACTTGGTTGACGACGAGCTGAAAGTCACACCATAGGACGACACGCTTTGCTCTGTACTTGAGCGCTAGTTTTAAACCTGTAATCACGAACTTATACTCAGCTTCATTGTTAGTCATATCTGGGCATCAAATGGACTATCGAATTACTTCGGCGGTTGGGACTTCGAGCATGAGTCCTAGTCCCGATCCCAATGTGTTGGAAGCGCCATCTGCGTACAGTACCCACAATCCATGTAATTATGGAGGAGTATGGGCGGGTTCCTTTTCGACTTCAGGCATTATTTTAGCGCTGAAGTCAGCGAGCACTTGCAACTTTATCATCGTTCGCGACTGATAGGTTATATCGTGCTTGCTTAGTTCTATGGCCCATTTGGCTATTCGGCCCGACAACTGGGGCTTGTGCAGAATACTCCTCAGGGGGAAGGTCGTTACTACCGAGATGGGGTGACACTGGAAGTACGGTCTAAGCTTCCGTGAAGCTACGACCAGAGCCAAGTCCAACTTCTCCAGGTGTGGATACCTCGTTTCGGCATCAACCAGGGTTTTGCTAATGTAATAGATGAGGAGACGCTCATGGGGTTCTACCTTGGCGATTAGTGGAGGGGAAGACAAATATGCCTTTAGTTCTCTCAAGGATTCGACGCACTCGGAGTTCCATTGGAGTCTGTTGTCTTTCTTGAGTACGCCAAAAAATTTATGGCACCTATCGGAGGACTGCGAGATAAACCTCGACAGGGCGGCTATACGACCGGTCAACTTTTGTACTTGTTTCTTACTAGTTAGGTTCTCTGGTATCCCTTCTATAGCCTTGATTTGGTCGGGGTTGACTTCTATTCCTCGTTTTGATACCAAGAACCCGAGGAATTTTCTCGAGGTTACTATGAAGGCACACTTCTTGGGGTTCATTTTTATACCGTACCGTCTGAGTATGTCGAAGGATTTTTCAAGTGGTTGATGTGATCCTCCATCCTCTTCGACTTGACCAACATGTCGTCGATATAGACTTTCATAGTTTTACCAAGTTGATCTTTGAACATTTTGGTCACCAACCTTTGATATGTGGCCCCCATATTTTTCAACCCCAACGATATAACCTTATAACAATACGTCCTATAGTGAGTGAAGAAAGTGGTCTTTTCTTGGTCCTCCTCCTCCATGGGGATTTGGTTGTAGCCTGAGTAGGCATCCAAGAAGCTTAGCAGTTCATGCCTGGCTGTTGCATCAATGTGTTGGTCAATATGGGGCAGCGGGAACGAGTCTTTTGGGCAGGCTTTATTCAAATCTGTGAAGTCTACGCACATCCACCACTTCCCGTTTTTCTTTTGTACCATGACCACGTTGGCGACCCATTGAGGGTACTTTGATTCTCTGATAGATCCATTTTTCATTAGTTTTTCGACCTCTTCGCGGACCACATCATTTATTGCGGAGTTGAATTTTCGTCTTATTTGCCTTACTGGAGGGTAAAATGGGTCGACGTTCAACTTGTGGGTTGCTATCTCTTTTGGGATGCCCGACATAGATGCATGGGAAAAGGTGAACAAATCTTTGTTGTTAGCTAAAAATTGATGGAACTTACCTGAATCTTGTAGTTTGTGACCGATGTAGGCTTTTTTGCTGTGGTCGTTATCATCGAGTTGGGCGGGGTCGAGGTCTTCTACGGTGGATCCCGTAGCTTTTACGATTTCGGGAACTTTGATTACATCCTTCTCATCCTTGCTCGACCTCGACCCTGTTGATTGCTATGCTTCGTTGGTTCTGTTTTTCAGTTGTTGGGTGTACGTGTAGTCTTGCACGATGCGTAGCATTCCTGGGCGATACACTATTTTCCTCGGATGCAAAATATCCCCCAACACGTGGGAAATTAAATAGCTTGGTATAAGCTAGAGGGGATGGCTTTCATGGCGTGGATCCAAGGCCGGCCTATGATGGCGTTGTATGTCGTGTCCTGATCCATGAGGTGGAACGTGGTTTCCAAAGTAACACCGCCGGCTAGGATGGGCAACATGATTTCTCCAGAGGTCCGTTCAACTACATTGTTAAAACCCGTTAGTGTGATGTAGCGTGGCATTATCATATCCTTGAGTTTCATTTGAGTGGGAACTCGAGAGTGGATGATGCATGTGTTGCTCCCGGTATCGACTATAATACACTTTACATCAGTATCTAAAATGCGTAAAGTAATGACAAGGGCGTCATAGTGAGTGAAAACCAAACCGTGGGTATCTGACTTATCGAAGATGATACTTTCTTCGAGTTTGTCATACTGTTCATGAGTGATCGACCTTTTGAGTTTGTGGGTGGTGGTGAACTTCACATTGTTGATTGATGTGTCGTTGCCCCTCCGATAATCATTTGAATGGTTCGAGCCGGGGAGGGCACTTTGGGTGGGCCCGGGTGTTATTAACGCCCACGAGCAAAGTTGGCCCTCCCTCAGTCGCTCATCAACTCTTTCAGGTTCCCTTGGTGGAGCATGTTGACGACCTTTTGTCTTAAGTCGATACAGTCCTCGATTTTGTGACCTCTTTCCTGGTGGAATTCGTAGAGGGCGTTTGACTTTCTAGTGTTGGGGTCGGACCTCATCTTCTGTAGACATTTTACTTTTGGGCCGAGCTTCTCCAGTGCATAAACTATTTTTGAGGGGGAAACACATAAATTGTGAGCAGATAGTAAGGGGGTATACCTCTCTCACCTTGGTGAGTCCCTATTCGCGGCCTGGACGAGCCTTCGTCGTGGTGGGGAGGCAGCATGAGGCTGCATAGGCTATAAGGTTGATGCCTTTCTCGACTGGGTCAGAGTCCCACTTGATCTCTCTTATTGTCGCTTCTCCAGTCCTTTCTGGGCTCGGCTTGTACGGAAGTCAACCATTGAATCAGCCGATTTAGATCATCTTCGTCGTCTCTAACTTCGGCACAATAAGCTTTGTGTATTTCGTCCCACGTAGTGGGATGGTATTTCATGAGGCAGCTCAACAGCTTTCTGGTCGCCCTCGAGCCGCTTCTGTTTAACCCGTTCTAAAAATCTGCTATGGACATTCCTTCCGATAAGTTTGGCAAGGTCATCCTTACACGATTAAACCAAGCGCGGAAGTCCCTAAGCCCTTCTTCGGGCGATTGTTTGATAGCGAATATGTCATTTATTCTTGCCTCCACCTTTTTTGCTCCGGTGTGGGCTGTTAAGAACTTATCGGCCATTTCCTCGAATATTTCAATCGAGCGTGCGGGCAACTGCAAATACCATGTCAGTGCTTCTCCGGTGAGGGTTTCACCAAACTTTTTCAGCAATATGGATGATACTTGTTCTTTGGCGAGGTCGTTGCCTTTCACTGAAGTGACATAGTGGGTAACGTGATCCTCAGGGTCAGTCTTGTCGTCATATATTTTCAAATACGACGGCATTTTGAAGGTTTTGGGTATGGCATGTGGTGCCGCCTCATCACTGTACGGCTGTTCCACAAACCGACCGACATCCCGTTTTGGCATAAGCTTTGGCGCACCCGGTATTTTGTCTATCCTTTCTTAATTCTCTTTCATTTGGCTGCAGAGCATTTTGTTCTCGTTCTCCATCTCTTCCATTTTTCTCAAAATGGCCGTGAGGGTGTTGTTACCTGCATCACTAACAGTGTGAGTAATACCTGTTACAGGGGGGTGTTGTTCGTTTGATGCTGGTGCAACACGGACTTCGGTGCCTTCTCTACTCGGCCTTTGAGCGGGTTTGTCAAGAATACCGGTCAGTGTGTTGGTCAACCATGCCTCGAGCAGCTTCTTCACTGCAGGTAGTGCCTCTTTCATTGTGGATGTAGAGGCCCCATTACCATGTGAGGCTATGATGCTGCCATGGGGAATGGGCGAGCTATCTCGTTGAGGAGACACGTTGGGCGTTATTTCTTCGCCCTTCGCTTCATCGTTTTCATTGATGGTGTGGAGGAGATTAGCAGTGAGGTCAGCTATTGCTTTTCTCTTTTCGTCTCCGTTACCTGCCATGTTAGCCTTGCGTGCACAAAGAACTATTTACGTGTTTTACGTTGTAGATCTAGAGGAAACCAAAATATTAACTAGAAAATCCCCACAGACGGCGCCAAATTGTTTGACCAAAAAGTATGAAACCTTTTGTTAAACTAATTAAATACACAGGTGACATGCAAATTCTAGTTAAACACAATAAGTTCTAGATCTAGCACATGCTTGTATAAATAGTGTAGAATAATGTCTGAGCTAATTTAATACAAATGGTATTAAATAACGTTGTCAAGAGTGGACATGAAGAATAATGATGAGCAATAACTATATTAAATGACAATAAATGTAAATATGAGGGAAGATTCACCCAATTATTGAAGAGGACATAAGATTCTTTCCTATGACAACGTTGAATTATATGAATGCTAAAGAATATTGCACACTTTCTTGGACTTGATGGAAATGACAAATGGAACGATTCACTAAATGATGGAATCTCTCTTAAAAATGGTTCTTTGTATTTTTCTTCGAATGCTTTTCTTATAATTTTGTTGTTTTTTTTCTCTCTTTCCTATATCTTACACTATTTATATGGGACATTCCCAAAAAACCCTAGAAAGTACAAGCAGAGGGAATATTCTGTTGAATATTCCCTTCAGAGATTCCAAAGCAAATTTGACCGTTGCTTCCTTTCCTTGCTATTAAACCTGGGCCTCGATGAGTCACTCGACGACTCGTTATGCTTATCACCGACCTCGACCTCAATGGGCTCTTCACCGCTCGTCCTGGTTGTACTTGGCCGAACTGCGCATGGTAAGTTACGATCTTCACGATGATCACCTTTCCGTACTAAATTTCCTTGGTCATATTTTGGCTCATACAGAATACAAAGTTGAATGACTACCCATAAAATTTACTCCGAAAAAAAAAAGATATATCTTAGTATCACTCTCTTAGAGCTATTCGATTGTAAATACTTACTAAGTGCCTACGAGACAACAATTATATACATTTAGAGAAAGATAAACACTTGTGCAGACTTCGAGCCGACAAATGAAGGTCACAAACATAAAGGAGATTTGCTAGTATGGAGAAACATGATCAAGGAAATAAAAGTTTTGCTCCAAGCGCTAAGCAATGTAAGTATTACTAATATTTTATTTAGTATTTCAATATAAAAAAGAAAATCTAAAACTTATTGTTGGCCGATATCGAGATATTGCGGCATCACGTCATGAATCGGCGATGCATTAAATATTCTTTCCTAAGAATATATGACCATTTCCTTTTGCAATGGGCATTTCCAATTTTCTAAGGGATTTTTATTCAAATAATCGGTGAGTTTACTATTTTATTTTTTCTAATCGATATACATTAATTAGATATTATTCAAATATATTATATATAAATTATACATATATTAATTATTTTTAGTTTAAGCGATTAGACCAACGACTATTTAGGTTAATTCTTCATTTTCTAATATCCACATAAAAAGTTTTCTCATAGGAAGAAGCCAAAAACATGTTAATTAAATTGTCCACGGTAGTAACATATGTGGGAGGCGCCGTACATAAATATAATTAACCACTTGGTAGTTCAACTGACATAATACAATTGATATTAAATAATAAACTTTGCTTATTAAAATTTAAATAGTCTTCTTCCTGCCTATAAGAACACATATTGGTAGATAGTCAATGATTTTTTGGCCAAGTGCCACTAGTTCCAAATTGCAATAGCATGAAAGGTTCCTCTCAAAAGGGTTTCATTGGATCTTGTTACTAGCACTATATATTAATGGCACGAATCTATTTGTATACACTCATTAGGTAAACAAGAACATGACCCTTTGCCCCTAAAGAAGACAAGTTTACCACCCACTTATCTGCCTTTTCCTAACTCAGAAATTTCCCTCTTTATTATTTCTACCTCTCTTGATCACTTCTTTTCCACACATCCATATATTTTTATGTCCTTTAACTTGCCTCCCTTTTTACATTAAAATCTAGAGTTCTATTTTGTTTTTCTCCTGGTTTTTCTTAATACAAGAGTTAAAGATCATTTCACTTTCATATTCCTATAATTATGACTTTGGCAAACAGGATCATCATATTTCTGCTTAGGCTTTTAGCCTTGGGGGCTAGTGTTGCAGCCATTGTTATCATGGTTACCAGCCATGATTCTGCTCAAGTCTTGGGCATGACCTTTGAAGCCAAATTTGCCAACACACCAACGTTCAAGTAAGTTGATTATAATCTTCATTTCATTAGTGTCTGTAACATGAGTACATTTTTCTATATTGTCAATCACATGCACGTAGTACAGCCGACTTACTCATTCTCTATATATACGTGCAAAAAGTAAGTACAAATAGAGTTAGATATACATTTCAGAACTCATTCTCTTTAACTCAAAAAGTACTCACAACATCTAAATTCTGAATCCATCACTGCACCTGTTAAAATAAGTTGTCGATGTTTCAGGTACTTTGTTGGAGTGAATATACTAGCAGGTGCCTACTCCCTCATAGTTCTGTTTTTCCCTACCAAGAACTTGCTGGGACGCATTATACTCATTTCAGATATCGTACGTATATTTTCTTGACAATAATTTTACATAGATTTTTGTGGCTTATTAGGCTGATTAATCATCTTTTTTTCTTTCATTGTTGTGGGGAAAAAATGGAGTAGATTATGACATTGCTGTTGGACTCAAGCATATCAGCATGTTTAGCAATAGCACAAGTGGGGAAAAAGGGGAATAGTCATGCAGGTTGGCTACCAATTTGTGGACAAGTTCCAAAGTTCTGTGATCATGTTGCTGGATCTCTTATTGCTGGATTTGCAGCTGCTATTCTCTATTTCCTTCTTCTTCTTTGCTCTTTTCACAATGTTCTAAATCTTTACACCCTCAAAGCTTAGACTTACAATCCTCCTTCGTGGAAATTTTACAGCTTTTTGTTGATCTTTTCTTAAAGAATATCATCCCCCTATTTTGTACTACTAATTTTTTGTTTCCAGATGCATGCTATATGTAGTTGAAATATTGTAATGCGAAAAGAAAGATTTAAAGACATCTTTGTCATGTTTGATGTGCTTCTCTCCACATAATATATAATTAATGTTTCAATCTTTGTTGTCAAATATTAGTCTAACATTGTGATCTTTTCTGGTTGATAATACTACCAAAGGATCTTTGTAGCAGTTGTGATTTGCATGCTAAAGAAATCCGGTTTTTCTATGTGGTGCAACAAAATTGTAAAAAGAGTATTTTTTTTGGTTATATTGTTAGTAAATTGTCATTTTCATTAGCAACTAAGATTGGTTAAAACTAGTAAGTACTAATTAATCTAATCTAACCATGATTTGATATCCGCTCCCTGTTGACAAATAAGAGTTGATAAGTGAAGAAGAGTTTTTTTTGTTTGTATAGCGTTATTTATCTCGCTGAAATCCTTCCTCTCTCTCTTTTTTTTTTTTTTTTGGGTGTTTTAAGAACAATTAATGAAGCTCCATATTTGGCATTATACTTACTCATTGTATTTAAAGTTTAAATGACATTTGAAGAGTCAGTCTTAGTTTTGACTTTGATTTTCTGAGAACTGCTACCTGAGAACATAAATCTGCAATAGACCGGCCTAGATTTCATTCCGGAAGAAATGATGAACTCTTTACTTCCAGTCAACTTTGTAACAGTTAAATTACAAGAACATGTTACAAATTCTTGCTGTTCTTAACCTATAATGCTATTCTAACTAAAATTTTATTTTAGGAGTTCAATGATTCATAACTCACATACTGCACAGAGTCACAGACATCTGTTCTGGTTTGATGCGGTTCTCTGTTGTTGCACTGGTGATTGTAATCTTAATTGTCCGTCTTTTGAGTCCTTATAGCCGTTGATTTAGTAGCGGTAGATGTGGTCTGTGTACATATGTGCGGTCATATTCAGGGAATGAAGCATGGCTTCTCCTTGTTTGTTGAATTTGAACACACATAATCCTCCATTATTTATATCCACTGAACGAAACCTGAATCAATATAAAATTAGACCTGTCAACAATAGTGGCTGAAGAAACCAACTTTTATCTGTACTAGTTGAATTGTAATAGATCAAAGAATACATGTAATTTTCATACTGACGAAAGAAAGTTTTGGTATACTCCAGGGTTGATTTTAATATCTGTAGGAGCATTTGGCTTGGCAGCTGTCATAACTAAAGGTTTAAGTTTAATTTTGTGCGCGGAATATCATTAGAGTTAATAGTATAGGGGATTTGGGAATATGCTAATAAGACTATCAGAGTATTTTAACATGTTATAGCAGGCTTATTTTCCCAGTTACTGATCCCACGTTTTTGGATCATTACATATAATTAGTATATTTTAAGTGACTTGATGCTATACAAGTTCATTTACACTATCCGTGTATAGAAGTACCTTTCTGGTCCTAGTCCAAGAGCTGTGCAGATCAATGCTCGTAAAATAGATTTGTGCGTCACAACCAAAAAGTTCTCTCCCTGATGAAGAACCAGCTATATCAGTATATTGTGTTGCAATGCAATCAACATAGATCAGTTAAGCAGTACTTAGAACTTACCGGTGTCAATAAAATTTCTTCCCATGCTTCATATGCTCTTCCCCACAGTTTCTGAAGAGGGTATACACCGTCTACACAAAAATTAGACGGATCTTCTCTCCAAGTTGTATACTCCTTTGGATATATGCGCTTAGCATCCTCTGCCTCCAAACACTAAACATCATTTAGAAAACTGCTAATGCTGTTGAACTGATCTAAATGCATGCAAAAGCTAAAATTGATTATGCCTTCCTGTTGTTACAATATTGAGGTTATAGTAACTCAAAAGAGGTAAAAGTAAAATCACATTATTTTGAGCAGTGAATGAGGCAGACCATTTTTCATGCCTTCAAGAAAATATAGATGGGCCTCCTTCAGGGAATCAAGAAAAACTAGAGGCTCTTCTTTTCCTTGCCATATGATTTCAGCAGTCGTCTGCAGAAGACATTGCTGTGATCACTTAATAGCTGAATATTTAGTCAGCAAAAGATAATTGCACATCATATTCCAACCTTGGCGCGTGCTATTGGACTAGAGAAACATTGGTCAAAATGCAAATCAGATAAGGCTGTCTTGCACCTTTCTGCTTGCATTGCTCCTTTTTCAGAAAGTACAGATAAATTTGAGCTTCCCTACATGTACAAGCAATTTGGTTAGCAGCTATAGCACAGCCAAGTCGCAAATTAAAAAAGAGGAAGTTATAAGACATAAGTTCCTTACAACAACAATTAGGATTTAACTCTTCGAGTCATGCTAGGACCCGACCCCATTGGCTGAGCACGAATGAAAATTAGTTGTGCAAGTGAATAGACACAAGTCCTAATAAATGGTATTAGATCTGGGAGAAACCAGATGGAATTATGGGAGACAAGTCCATGCGGGGTTAAGTGCTAGAGTTAGTGGGCGGTGGGCATGGGCGAAGCCACCCTTCGTCGAAAAATTACACTGTGTATGTTAGTAAAATATTATGTTTTAGAGGTATATAACACATATTGAACACCCTTTGTCGAGAATTTTTGTCACTTCTTTAAAATTTGAACACCCTTGGGGAAATTCCTAGCTTTGCCACCGGCGGTAGGAGTTGATCAAAAGTGTGGAACCTAAGCTTATGCAGGACTATGTGCACACTTTGTGAAGTAGGAGTTACCTCTAGAATCATGGATCAAGCCTGAGAGGATGTCAAGGCCTCAAGGAGGAGAATGTTATACCCTGCCCCACATCAGATAAGTGGACTTACTTGATTTACAAGCCTTAAAATGCTCCACTGTTAACAACTTTGGTCTTAATTCTAGATTAAGGGAGGACAAGAGCCACTTGGGTGCGTGAAGATGAATTGTTTGGCCAGTGATTTAGGTCGTTGCAGAGGCTGATATTGAAAGAAAACAGGGTCTCAAAGCGTTAATTGAGTGTCGATTCATCAATCAGAGATGAACCAGTGGTAGGATACCACAGTTTGCTCAAATGCAGTTTTAAGTTTGTCTGTCTGGACTAGGAAAGCCCACTGTCAATAAACACATCTTATCATTTATCACGGAAGTTATGTTAGGGGCACAGATTTCAGCTAAGTCTTGTCTTTGCAGAAAGAAGAATGTAATGCTCCATAAGTCTCGCATCAGTATCGAAACATGATTAACAAGGCACATATGCTTAAAACCATGACTAGTAAAATTTGGACTTCAAATGTTTGTAGTTCAGACTAGAAAGATCACTCTTGCTCCAGAGCCTCGCTTGAGACATAACTATGGCGTTGCACCAGAAGATTTTTGCACTTCTTGGTTGTCCTAAATTGAGTTTCTTATCCTGAGTTAGCACGATTACTTAGACGAAAATTGAAATCATGTAATGTTTGGGTTTAAGTGCGAAACGTGAAGATTGAGTCATATTGTTCAGCCACACTGGCTGGCACATAAACTCAAATGCCCTTGTCAGTAGTTCATTGACCTTTAATATCAAGTTCTCAATGAACCACGGAATGGCTAAATTTTCTGGCAACGACTCAGTAACTTAAAATTAGGATAATCTGGTTATCTAAGTTGGAAAGTGGCATTCTTTTCTGTACCTCCATTATACATGTCTTTAGAAAAACTTAGCAATACAGGGTTGAGCATTGTCAAGGAATTAAAAACACTCTAGTAAGAAAGAAGGTGGAGAAACATGAAATGAGAAGATGAAAGACAAACCTGAACTCTACCTTCTTCATTCCAAGAGCTGAGACCATGCCTTACAATTGTAACTTTCTTTGGACAAGCCAATGCCTTTCTAGTTAGAGAAGTTGTGGCTTTTTCAAAATCAAATGCTCCACCAGTCAAAGGAGTATCATACCTAAATCTCTCTGTTCAAGAATTCATGTTAAAAAGTTAATTTCAGCTAGCAAAAGTAGGACTCTATCATAAACAAATACTAGACCCATAATGAAGAGTAAAAAAAAGTGCATCCCGGTGCAAGAAGCATCCTGCATTCACGGGGGCGGGGGAAGGGCTGCAATCAAGTCCTTGTTTATGATAGAGTATAGCAGGAAAATGGAGTTTTAACAGGAAATGGCTAGTAATCAAGTATCCAGCTCCTCTCCATTGAACACGTCCAATTTAAATTTTAAAAGGTCCAGATTAAATTAGGTAACCAAGTATTCTGTAAAGTAAATTGTACCATCATTCTGACACCCAATGAGAAAATAAATCTCCCAGATATTTTGACACCATTTACTGGAGAATGCTTCTTTTTCTGGAGCAAGAACTACAGTAAAATCTACCATCTCAACTATGGCTAGAATGCTCGAATATTCAATTTAATATGGACCTCCGAAATCAAAATGGGCAGCCCGGTGCACTAAGTTCTCGCTATGTGTGGGGTCCGGGGAAGGGCCGGACCACAATGATCTATTGTACGCAGCCTTACCCTGCATTTCTGCAAGAGGCTGTTTCCACGGCTCGAATCCCTGACTTTCTGGTCACATGGCAGCAACTTTACCAGTTACACCAAGACTCCCCTTCATATAGGCAGGAAATGGGGCTTAGTGTCCAATGTGAGGAGCCGGGGAAGGGCCGGACCACAAGGATCTATTGTACGCAGCCTTACCCTGCATTTCTGCAAAAGGCTGTTTCCACGGCTCGAATCCCTGACCTCCTGGTCACATGGCAACAACTTTACCAGTTACGCCAAGACTCCCCTTCATATAGGCAGGAAATGGGGCTGAGTGTCCAATGTGAGGAGCCGGATCCAACAAGCAATACATCTTAAGCACCAATGAAGTCCATTGAATAGAGCTTCACATTTTCTAATCTAAGTGTCATAACATGGATCAACCCATTCTTTGTTAGATAATTAACCAGTAAGATATCAAAAGATACAAACTAATCCAAAATAATTACTCCCTCCGTTTCAATTTATGTGAACTCATTTGACTGGGCACGAAGTTTAAGAAAAGAGAGAAGACTTTTGAACTTGTGGTGTAAAATGAAACACATATATTTTGTGTGGCTATAAATCATTGCATAAAGGTAAATTGTTTCCAAATAGGGAAAAAGGTCATTCTTTTTGGCACGGGCTAAAAAGAAAATAAGTTCACATAAATTGAAATGGAGGGAGTACATACTATCAAAGGCAGATGGAGTAATTCTCTATAGGTTCAACTTAAACCCATTATCTTCAACACGGAACATAGAGTATACGTGAAAATCCACTAAAATTTCAACAAATATTAAATTCCGAAACCATAATTTTAAAAGCACAACGAGTAGTTGAGTGCTAAGAAACTTAGAGTTGAACATGTCAAGTTTGAATCCTGGATCCGTCTCTACGTATCATTAATTTGTCTTTACTGGTAGCATTAAATTAATATAACCATGAACACGATGCAGTCCCAGTGCCACACAACGCATTATATTGTTATCAAGAACAACTAATTATTCATTAAAGAAAAAAAAGGTCCACTAGAATTTGAGAGATTACCTGTTGTAGTAACTGGTAACTCGGGACTTGAAGTTGAGCAGCGAATAGTATAGTTTATGCTCGAGCTAGAATGAAATTTAGGGCGTGGAAATTTATTAGAATTGGAAATGGAAGGGAAAGAGAAATAAGGGGTAATAAGAATAGCTCCAGAACTCATCTTCTTAAAGTGTTAATTCAGTGTAGTACTTAGGAGTTGTGTTTTTGCTATTTCAAGATTAATGTTTCCAGCTTTGTTTGGCCATAAATTTCGAGGGGCTTCTACAAACGAGAAGATCTAAAATGAGGGACACTGACGGTTGAAACTTGTGGTGGGAGTTTGATTGCCTTCGGCTTTGCTACGATATGGAATTGTGGATATGCCTCTTACAGGTGAATGGAAGATTCTTGCATGGTCCCGCCCAAAAAGACAATTGTTTCTTTTTTTGGGAAATTTTCGTTCCTCTGCCGTACAGGAAATTATATTATTAAATATGTTCATAGTTTACATATTACCCGTCATGCTAATAGTATTTCTATAAAATATAGACAATTCACTAAATAAGGAATCATTGTAGCTGTAGACTTCCTTATTTAGGCGCGCTACTATTGAGAAATTAAATATTATACCAGATATTTTACAACGCAAATCACGCATTAATATTTCCTTTCTCTGTATATTTTCATATGTTGTTTATTTGGATTGGAATTTTCATACGTTATTTGATTGGAATTTGTTTTTACAGAGAAAAGAATTTTCATACGTTGTTTGTTTGGATTGGATGTTGTTGCGAAGAATTGAGAATTCTCTCTACGTCTCTCTCTATCTCTCAATCCCAAATTTCAGTAATATAAAGCAAAGAAAAAGAGAGCAGCAATTCCACCATTGACAGCCATTAAAAAGCTTTGAAGCTTTGAATTCGAATTTGGGTTTTTTGAACAACATTGTATTAAAATTGTATTTAAGTGGTATTATATTATAGTTGTGTATATATGGAGACGAAAAAGGAAAACAAAAACTTAAGATCATATTCGTTATGTATAATTGTTTGCGATTTCAATATGGAATTGAGTATCACCAATGAGAACACAGTTGCATGTTTGTACTGTTACATTTTCTATCAAATTCTGGTTGTATATCAATGTCCTACACTTTATCTACATTTTAT